AAAAAAAAAAAAAGGATTGCTCTCCTCTTTTTTTAAGACTTGGGGTTATTAGGCTAGGAATAATAGTACAGGACCTAACTGAGGGCCTGTGTATGGCACTGCGGTGCTAGTTCCTCAGAACTGTCTTTTGACCGATGGCCCTTATCAAGCTTTCTCAATCTGGAGGATCACCACATACAATTTTAGAATTAAAAGGACCTTAGAGATTATCTAGTTGAACTTCCCATAGAGCGCAATCCTGTGAGGTACTCTTAATATTAATAGCTAGTCTTTTTCAGTTATTAATACAGTTGGAGCACACAGCACCTGAGCAATATTGTCCTCATGTATACGACAATGAAGTCAAATACAGCTTCACTGTCAGATGAAAATTAAAGTGTAAAGAATTCTGATTGTCACTAGGATTGAAAACTTGGAACCCATACTTCAGTTAATGGTGTATATAGCAATGAACATTAGAAAAATATGTAGACCAGAGAAAGACAGAAGAAGTTTGGATTAGAACATCTCTCTCCCAGTATAGTTGAAGGTCCATCATATTGAATAGGTAAACTTTGTTTCTCCAGAAAGCATATTTGGCATTAAAATAACAACTTTTTAACAGTTGGAGGATTAAACTGTGGAATGGATTGACTTGCAGTGGAGCTAACTTGCTCATCACTTGAATGTTCAAGTAGATGTTGGATGAACTGCTCTCATAGGGAGGCCTATTAACCCTGTACCAACTCTAAAATGCTGATCAGTAGTCAACAAACTACAGCCCACTGGGCAGTTTCCATCCCATGCCTCTTTTTGTAAATAATGTTTTATTGGTACATAGCCACTCCTATTAGTTTACATATGTCCATAGCTACTTTTGTGCTTATAGTGGCAGAGTTGACTAGCTGAAACAGAGACCATATGGCCTACAAAACCTAAAGTATTTGCACTCTGTCCCTTTATAGAAGGTGTACCAATTTGTGCCGTAGAGCCAGGGGAAAATAATGTTGCCCCAAATAGGTTTGAAAAGTCAAGTCAGTTAAGAAGAGTGCCTCAATCCCCAGGATGCCCAAGTAGTTCCCAAAATTTTCTTCAAAAAATTGTTTTTGACTTAAAATTTACATTTAGGTTTTTAATTCATCTCGATTTTTTTTTTTCTATATTATCTGAATGTAGAGTTCAACTTTGTTTTCTACTGGGTGGATAACCAGTTGTTCCAACACTATTTGTATTTATATATTCATCTTTTTCTCACTGTTTGAAATGCCATCTTTTTTATATGTTCTGTATGTCTGTATATGTAGCATATACTTACGGGTGGTTTCTCCTCTTCCACTCATTTGCTTGTTCACTGTAATACCAGTAATGTTGGAGTTTTGATTACAGTGACTTTGTTTGCTATGTGTAATAATTGGAAAGTCAATTTCCCCCTCCCAATTTTTTTTTTTTTTTTTTTTTTCATATAAATTTTAATATTATTTCATTCATTTCATGAAAAATCTGGAGTTTCTGATAGAAATGTAGATATTGATGTTGGGGAGAATGGTGAGTTTATTCAGTTTTATTAGAAAACTTTTCAGAAAATGAGAAAATTATAGGAATTGCCAATTCACAAGATAGCAAATCTAAATAGTCAATAAACATGCAAAAAGATGTATACTGTAGTAGTCAAGAAAATTTTTACCATTTCAAACCCATTAGATTGGCAAAAATTAAATAGTATGTTAACATCTACTGTTGATAGGAAAATGAGTATACACATACATTCCTGTAGAAATGTCATTTGTTTTAGCCTTTTTGGAAAGTAATCTGACAATGTCTAATATACACACAAATATTCTTTGTTCTGCAGATGTATCCCTTAGAAATAAAAGCACTAGTGTATTCATCTCTACCAGGATGCTTGTTGACCCCTTTTTTGATTATAGGAAAACATTAAAACAAAGTATACGGCTATTGTTAGGGAAATGGTGAATTAACTGAGGTACAGTCATATAGTGAAGTAATATGCAGCCGTTACAAAGGGGCTGAAACTGTGCCACTTGACTTAGAGAGACTTCCATGGTATATTCTGTGAGAAAATTAAGATGCAGAGCAGTGTATATGACGTGGTCCCACTTTTATGTAATAAAACAATAAACTGTCAGGAAATAAGAAAAATACTATTACAAATGTATTTATGTGTAGTTCTGTGAGCAGGTTTTTAATTATTGAGGAATGGAGTTCAAAGGAGAAAGAGGGAGGAGAGGTAAAAAAGAAAAGAATGTTTTAGAACAAAATGATACTACATTAAAAATAGAGGTGTCCAGAATAAACAGCATGGTATGAGATACTCATGTTTCTATAAAATTAAATGTACATACAGTCTTTTCTAAAATTGACAGAAAGCCAAGTACCACATGATACCTTTCTCTTTCTTTGTAAGCTTTCCTTGGCTTATTCTTTGACTCAGGTTGGTCCAGATGGTTTGATGAAGTTAAATGGCTCGGCTCTTAACAACGAGTTCTTCACTTCTGCAGCCCAAGGATGGAAGGAAAGACTTTCAGAAGGTAAGTGGTCTACCTCACGTATGTTGCAGGTTGTGTGTGTACTCGCAGCCACTATGCAAGCATATTGGCCCTCTCTGCCTCATCAGGTATTTGAGCAATTTTGGAGGGTAAAGGACAGCATGTTTCCATAGGGTCGAGTTGACTATCCTGTGTGAAACACATTCCTAGACTTTTATCTAGAACCTGTGTTGTAACCAGGTTGACTCCAGTCTAGTAATATGTTTCTTTAATGATTTAAACTCAACTGAGAAACTAAAAAATACAGATTTTTATGCTCTATACCTAAAGATTCTGATTCAGTGATTCTAGATTACTGAATTCTAGATTAGATTGCCTAGGAATTGAAATTTTAAAAAAGTCCCTAATAGGCGGAGTATAGAATTAGTTATTTTATGGTACTATGAATCCCAGTTTAGCAAGCAGTGAAGTAGCCTCTTTATTGCTGCCCAACTCCAAGGAAACTCACAGTAAAAGGAACCAGTGAGAACTTCTTAAAAAAGAAAAAACAACTTCATTGAGATATATTTCACATATTGTAAAATTCACCCATTTGAAGTTAATAGACAGTCAGAACTTTTTTTTTTTTTTTTTTGAGACAGTCTGGCTCTGTTGCCCTGGCTAGAGTGCCATGGCGTCAGCCTAGCTCACAGCAACC